TGCTTATTTGTCTCAGTGTTTGTATCTAACTGGGCATAATGCATTGGCCAAAAGCAGCTGTGCAAGTTTTAGTTATTTGGTTATGTCTTTCGGTTTCTGTTTCTTCTGTTTTGTTTTGCTTTTTTTGTTGCTTTTGTATGAATTACTCGTTCCGCTGGAACATCTACATGAGTTAAACTTTATTTCTTGTTATTGTTGTTTCTTTATCACTTTGCTAGCGTTTTCAAGACAAGCTCTATACGAGTTTTTCTTTTGTTCTTTTTCTGTTCTGAAATTCCGTTGCAAACAGCATATTTTTAACAACTCATGCACTTGTAAGAAAAAGCTATTAAAATTTTATTTCTTCTTTTTATTGTACAATTGTTTACCGGTATTTTAGTCTATCAAAAATGGGTTCTTCCATTATGTTTATGGGGCCTTTGATTTTTTCGAATCATAGCTAATTTTCACCACAGCGTAATTGTTGATATGTATGTACGCCAACGCCGAGTGTGGTCAGCGCCACAGATCTTCGGTGTGACAGCAACTGGAATGCTCCTAATGTACTTATTCTCGTCTCTGTTCGACATCGTCACGTCTCTGAGCGGCGTAAAAAGACGTACAGAATAGGAGAGTTCAATAAAACACGACAGTTGATTCGCTTCTACAACCAGCGAGAACAGCGCTAAATATTTTCAGCGCTTGAGCATTTGTCTCTATTTGTACGGCATGGCCTAGCCAGTGAATCTGTTGTCTTTGTCTGTTGTTTTTATCCGCGAAGTTAGAATTCGTACCTAGGTATACTCGAATGGTGGGACAGCAACTCCTGGTTCTGGACCCTTTTTCATCTCTGTTATAGATCAACAGGGTGGAAAAGTGTGCCCTCCATAATTTAAGTATGTTCTGGACATTGGCTACTAGGTTGCCGTGGTTGATTTTTCAGAAATTCCTTCTGGCCTTGAAACCATATTTTTAAATCTCGCGGTCGCAGCGCTCATTGGTGCACTTCAAGCACTCAAAGAAAAGTTTAAAATCTCTCTTTTCATCACAGGAAATTTTTGCTCCTTTACATGGTAGCTGTGGTAGGCCTCGAAAGTCCCCAATTGATTCCAGTCCGTCGCATTTCCTGAATGTCGGCGAGGTCAACTGAACTTTTCGTGGGTACATCAATCACCCGGGCAGACGCACTTTCCCGATGGATTTGCACACTTTAGGTGCATACTTTCAAATCATAGTCCTTTAAACCTTTGCTTAGGTCGTCAACAAAGGAAATGGGGCTCAGCTGGGGTTTATTATAGTTGAAATTAGTTGTTACTTGGTAAGCACTCCGAACAACCAGAAACTAGAGCAATTTTTGTCAGCCGCTCCTCGTGCCGAATGGACGTTGTAGATTTCAGTGGACTTTTAGACTCAATACATCAGAGTGGCCCCATTAAAACTCTCTCTCTCTTGCTGGCGTGACCCAAAGTACCTGGTGCGCGAACGCGGATGTGTTAGTAGAATTTGAGTATGGTCTAGCAACTGGTAACTCCGTACTTAGAAGCCCCACTATAAACCATTGCATTCCCAAGAAAAAAACACTAATATTCACTTATTTAGCAAATGGCCTTAGACGATCGAACTTAGGAGAAACTACATCAATATTTTTAGAAATTGCGGTGGTACATACATATGTACAAAAGAAAGACCTTTCTGGTAGCTCAATTTTCGCTTTAAATTTAGAAAACTTTTTGTAAATGTTTATGAAAATTTTATATTTTCATTTGTGGGGTTGAGACGGTTCTTACCACTATTTTGTTCTTAAACTCATTAACTTTCAATTTCGTTCATAAAAATTTTGTTAAAAATATTTAAAAATCATAGTTAAACTATTAAAATGGGATTGGAAATTTTTCCATTAAATTTATTTTGTTCTTTTTTTGTGATTTGAATCGGTTCTCTTAAGTTTTAAACGTGCGATATGTATGTACATACATATATTAGGGCGGGTCGAAAAACACAATTTGTTTGATATGAAAAATGTATAGGTCTTAAAAGGTACTATTGATCCCTTATTTTAGAAAAGAAATCCTGGTTCTCTGCGACAATGTCTTCAGTCTGCGAAATAAGCTTGAAAAATTGAAAATAAGAGTGGAAATACCAATTTTTCAAATTTTTCCAACGACTTTTGTAGATCAAATCCGGAAAAGGGGACATACGTCCTCTAGTTATAAACAAGCTGAAAAAGGAACTATCGGGCAGGCTCTTCAATTCACTTTCGAGTGAATTTAAACCCCTGCCAATTTGACATCAAAGCGAACTTGACTCAAATTCACTCGGAAGTGAATTGCAGAACCTGCAGGTATAAAACACACTAGGCTCCGACATTTTTGGAGCCAGCCACTGTTCATAAAGATGCGATGTAGGATTAATCTTTGGTTGCTTCTATTTTTTACTGGGTAGGTATGTACATATTTACACACATACATACAATAAACATGCTTTCCATAGTCGCATAGGTATTTATCATTTATTTTGCCTGGTTACATATGTACATTAGGGCGGGTACCCTTTTTTGCCTATGCGCGTATAGCACAGGGGGATTCTATGTGTAATTCTAAGCAAATTTGCTAATAATCTTATTTTCGCAATTTAACCCATGCTTTCTTGGGCAAATTTGCTTAGAATTACACGTAGAATCCATCTGTACTATACGCGCTTAGTCGAAAAAATCTCCCATACAAATTGACCCGCCCTAATGTGCATGTATTGCTTGGTTATACTACATATAAACATACATCTGCACCTACATACATATTCTATCAGCAATCGAGCCCAACGAGTTCGTGCCTCTATTCAGCTGGCGCACAGTGTTGCCGTTGAGAATTTTCAGAAAGCCGCAAAAAAGGGCTGATTGACGAAATAAAGGGTCACCATATTATATTTGCTTTTCTTTACTAGTAAAAAAAGTCTGAGATCCCAAGTCAAAATCAAATTTACATGTATTATAAGTTCTTTTCGCTGCTAGAACGTTGCGATGTTAAATTTAAGAAGAAAATAGCGGGACAAACTTTAAACAAAATAAAGAAATCGAGTTGCTGAAAGAAGAGTTGAATTTCCTTTAAAAGTTTTAAGTGGTGCATTTTTCCTACTTACAGGAGGAAATATTTTTTAATAGCATGGTTCTAAAACAAAATCTCTGAAAAGGGGCAAAGTCGCACATAATTTTGGAAAAGGGTAAAAAAATCCAAATTTTCGGGTCAAAGGGTATTGACGCCTAAAACGGGTCATATTGCCCCTTTAGTCGCACAACGGTAACACTGCTGGCGCAGACCTCTTTATTTGGTTACCTCCAACTTGCTTCCTTTCGCAAAATTAGTTACTCTTTTATGTACACATGTAGTACATATGTACATACATACAAGCATGTATAGTATAGTACATACATATGTATATCACAAATTTTGCATTATTATTACTGTTCTTTTGTGACAGGTTGTTTGCTTACTATGCATTCAAAGTGAAGTATGTAACTAATTTCCTGACAAACATTTCATTGCCACTGACTTGCTTTTGCTTGTTGCTTATTGGTATTCTCTTGTTGGCCGGCATTTTCTCATCCCGCACAGTGGGAGAAGTGGTCAATTTGGCGGCGGTTTAGTGAAATTTTAAATTTTCGAATTTCACCATATTTGGTGTTTTTTTTTTGTTTTTTTTTTTTGCTTCCAATATTTGCCCAGCTATAAGCGTTTAAACTTAGCATATCTGTCAACCAGTGCATTATTTATTTTCGCGCTTTTTGCAGTACACATTTTGTTTACAGAAAAATTTTATTTTTCTAACTTTCTATTTGGATCAGTGGTTTAATTGAAATTATTATGTATGTGTGTTAAATAAAAAAAATATACATGTTTGTGGTCTGTGCTTATAGGTTTTAGTGCTTAGTCGTGATACAAAATGTCCTTTCTGATAAAGTGTTTTAGCATGTGTAACCCAATCTTATGTCGAATAAAAGTTTGGTGGATTCGACAGGTATTTTGTTTGTTTTTAGTATGATCTATTTATGTCAAGTTGAGGAATTTAGTGCAGGTTTTTGCAATTTTTTGCGTTTTTTATGTACAATGTCCAAGTCAAAACGCATCCTTTTTTAGTTTGAAACAGTAAACCAGTACCAACCAAACAAGTTGCTAGTTGTCGAAAATCATGTATTTTCTAATATTATTGATCCCTCAAAACATACAAACACAATAATATATAAAAAAATATTACACCCAAAAATTTGTTATTTTTTTCAAAGTTATTATCAACGCGCCGCCAGATTAGCCATTTCTACCACTGTGTCCCGGGGGGGAATGTTGGCGTTTTTATTTCCTTTTAAATTTTTGTTTTTGATTATTTCTTTGCAAAACATAAAAGTGCAACGACACAAACGAGAACAACTTTACATACATGCCTACAAGTCCAACAACAAGGATGCTTATTTTGATAGTAACACGCGAACTTTTATGTATACCAGTAAAGAAGTCATCGCTTCATGCCACCTTTACAAACATTTATATATGTACATATGTACATACAAAGCTAGATATGTACTTAGTATTTATGTACTTTCGTATGTTTGTATTTTTTCTCAACTACTTTTTTAGTGGCTTATCGCTTGAAAAAATTACACATTGAATGTAGATACATACATATTTATGTATGTATGCATGTATATGGTAATATTGGGGCTCTGTAAAATTGCAATTACGTTCACGGGTTTCATCAAAAACCTTAGAATAACTAAACAAAAATTGTTTTAGGTATCCACACATTCCTTAACTCAAGATTGAAATTTTATTCGCACTTCTTTGACTTTGCATACACAAACACAGCTCACTCGTTACCTTCACTTGATGCTTATTAGCAGCCGCATTGATTATTAATCAAGGTAATCTCTACTAATTAGAATATTGTCCACCATCTTCTGCCTGCACAATTTTTTTCACACAGTTCTCACATAAAACATTTGTCACTTTACAAAATTTTCAACATTTCATTACCTTGTCCAGCGCACTCTGTTCGCTCCACTATGAACTCGTTGTACCAGCTACCCGCTGCTTGTCCATGCACTTGCTGCCCACTTCGTGTCACTTAATTTCCTTTTCACGCACTCGTAAAATTCTTCACATCATTCAACTTTACTTTTTTCGCACACATTTTGCACACTTGAAAATCGTTTTCAATCATTTAATACAAAATTTAATCATAAATACTTATGTTCAAGTATAAATTCTATGCATTTATCCGTTCAATGGCATTTTTTCACCAAACAAATTCGCACGACACACATAAAATACTCTACTCGATATTTGCCAATCCAATTCACTTCGACTCCTATCCACACGAAACGAGACGACGCACTGACCCATCCAACAGGCAAGCGCGCTTTTGCATCGTTTCGATTTCGGTGTTGCTGCTGCTTCTACTGCATTCTCTGCTGCCTGCTGCCGAAGCCAGTACGCTAATATGCATGTATTTGTTGCAGTCGTTAGCGATTGGCGCTAAGTTGCTCCCCCACCCCAACCCCTTCTTTCAAACAAGAGTCAATGGTTTTGTTGTTGCGAATGGACACGAGCGCTGTGTTTGCAAGCATGCCTGTGTGGGTGTGTGTGTGTGTTTGTGCTTTGCATTCTACTTTTCGTTTCTACCTGTTTAGTAAAAACAGCTCTTGTTGTTGTCGCTCCCCATAGATGCTTCTTTGCACGCCTGACTGTGTGTATTTGTAGTTGTTTTGCTTTTGTTTACCTTTTGCTTTTGCATACTTGCTGATGTGCATATGGATTTGTTTTGATGAGTGCGCTAAAACTTGCTCTCTCTTTATTCTCTTGGATACATTTTTATTTGTGTATAGTACTTCTCTACACCTTTTTCGCTTTGTTTGTAGCCTGTTGGGGGGAGGGGGAGCTTATCAAAATAAAACTGGCAGTACTGTGGAATGCTCCTTCTTACCTATGCATTTGGCGCGCCATCTAACTGTCGGCTTTTATCATAATTTAAAATACGATTTAGGGGAGCATTTAGGATTTATATTTTTTTGATTAACTTTTTCCCCTTCTAACAAAGTCACAAAACCCGGCGCATCACTATTGTGATTATGACTACGCTCAATACCACAAAAAAAAAAATCTAAAAATTCAACGGTAATTTTTAGTGACTTAAAACTTGCAAAATTTCGATGATAACTTTTTCCTAAGTTTGATTAATTTTTTCTGCTTTAGTTTAGAGACTTTTGTTTATGTGGTTTCTGTTGTAGATCCAATATGTATATTTAAAATTAAAATTATTACAAATAAATACACATAATTATGTTAAACAATATTATGTTCAATGAAAAGATAAGTCGATTACATAAGCTATGTAGAAAGTCTTCCCGTTCGTCCGCTTACGCCATATCTCGATATATCAACGAAATTTGGCACGTAGGCTGCTCTTCATCCAGGGTAGGTTGGTATTTAAAATGGGCTTAATCGGACAATAGCCACGCCCACCTACGATTTTTTCACCGTATTGTAAATATCCCTTCTAATTACTTATTATACGGTTAGAGTGAGAGTGAATTCCTATTCACATGAGAATTATTCTCATAGTTTACCAGAACCTTAAAGGAAAATTTCCTTGGAGAAGCGGATACCAGATGGGAACGCGCTGAAATGTACAATAAAACGAAGCTCACGTGGCCTAAATGGAGCATAAGGAGATCAAGAGAAATTTTCATTCTCAATGCAGAACGCCTGGGGGTCAGCCATAATGACTACTGCAGGAGCTGCTACGTGTAGAGCCTGAATGAATCAGGCGGTTTTTCTGCGATTACCCTGTACTATGCAGGAAAAGGCAGAATTTCCTTGGAATATGATTTTTTAAACTATCTAAGCGCAACTGCAAACTTTGGAATACGGGCAGTTGCTAAGGCTCGAAGACTCCACGAACTGGTTGAAGAAGTAGGCGTTTTGAATCCATGTGTTATCACTAGGGCAACCCAAAATATGCTACGCTCTCAATTTTACTCTCTATTTTTCTCTTACGCTCTCGCTCCAAGTACTTACTGGAAAAGTTATTGAATGGACCTTTTATTTCCAGCACCTAAAATGTTCTAAATTTCATAAAAGTGTATATACATAAATATTTGTGTTTAATAATTCATATTTATTCAATTTGTTTTTAAAACATATGTATGAAAGTACACGGAATCTAATTCACAAATTGCTTCACATAGGAATTCATACTGTGTATGTTTATAGATACATACATATGTACCCTGCAGCGGAAAGCACTAGTCGGGAGTTCGGGAGTCGAATACCGGTACCTCGCAAATCTCTACCACCCATGCTTTCTGCTGTCGCATTTAACATGGAGTTGTTCTAGGAGGTGACAACTGACTCTCGCTACGTAGTAGTAGTAACACGTAGCCTGTAACCGGACCACGATTTGTATCTCGATGCGTAACCTAGTACTAGTAATAATAAAGACTTCCATAACAAAACATATTTACTTGCGTTTGCTGAAATCCAATATTGCGATATCATAAAAAAAATCCAAAACATGAATTGGAATCGTATACCAAATGAAATTAAAACTGATATCGATATCGATGAATGTTTAAACCTAAACATAAACTATGAAATGTTCAGATTGTTCTTCAGTTTTTAACCGACTCCAAAAAAAGGAGGAGATTATCAATTCGTCGGAATATATTTTTCAGCTACATATCGTCGTTTCAAGTACAAAATCGCGTATCAAGGAAATGCAAAGCCTCATATGTGCGCTTGCACAAATTTTTTAGGAGAGTAAACTTGTCTTATTTCAAAACGGTTCTCTCCTTAATTATCTCTTCTTCTTATATCTAAGTATCGATATTTTAGTACGAATAGATAAGGGCTTGATGCCTGGAGCTTCCGGTGATCAAAAAATATGTTTTTTGGCACAAGTGCCACGATACGCGGTTTTGTACTTTAAACGACGATATTTAAATTCAAATTTTTCATATAAAATATTAAATTTTTCTTTAGATTTTAATGTATATTTGAAATTTTATTACAATCTATGACAAGTAAAATACAATGGAATAGACACTTGTAAAAGATTATCAAATGCTTAAATACTGCAACAACTATTTGTTTAAAATATAGAGCCTAGTCAAACTTAAAATAAAGATCTATGGTTTAAGAATAAAAATGTATGTTTACTTAACAAAACCAATAATAATCCTACATACGCTATGCTTAACAGCTAATAAAGCACTTTAAACTCTTCTGCATATTACCGATTTCTTAAAAAATTTATAATAAATACATTTTAGCAAATACATATATGTAACAGTAAAAATGCATAGCTCAGACTATGTCCACACGGCGGTGGGGATGAGTCCCTCTTTACTGGTACCAGGCGGTGTCAGCACTTCCTTGTCAAGGAAGTCCAATGGAAGATTGACTAGGAATCCCTAAATGAGTGGATACACTAATTATATACGCGTACATTTAGTATTAAAATCAGTACACACCTGAATATTTGCCATCCGCTTGGCCGCCACCTCCGGATCTGATTTGCATAGCGGCGGCTCTTCCTGATATTTTCGCAAATCCACATACGACTTCACCTTATCGGTAGGTATGCACTTGAAAACTTCTTCGTATATCTCTGTATTACGCGTTGACGTACGACGCCACATGCCATTCCAAAATTGATCGATTACCGGGTCGGTTACATCGATTGGCATGCGATCGGCATCGGGGTCAAGTAGACCTAAATGCTCTTTGAATAGGAATTTGCGTAGCCTGCCCGCGAATACACCACTCGGATACTTTTTGCCATTCATGCGTCCGTCCTCGAACTCTTCATCGGCTATGATCGCAGCGATTTCCGAATCCCGCTTGCCGATCATCGAGCGATCGTTGATATTTGCCGAACCGCAAATTACCACGCGATCATCGGCGATTAACAACTTTGAATGCACATAAATGAGTTCAGTAATGGGCGTGTTATTCAATTGCGAGTTTGTGCGCAAGCTATGGAAGGATATATACTCGCCGGGATCGCTAATGCCGACCTCCTTGAGGCGTGTGAGTATCGCAGAGCGGCCTCTGTGTGAGGGAAAAAAATAAAGTCTATGCACCCAATTTCAAGTCCGATATTTGCTTACCTCGATATCGACGCGTAATTCCAATGCGTGATTGCTCGCACCGCGTTGCCAGTGCTGCCACCAACGTCGCCCTCAAAGCCAGGCAGCAGTGGAATGATCACAAAAACGCGAAAGGTTTTGCGCTCCCTTAAAGCGAAACGTTTGCAGGAAATAATATATAAATAAATCATAAGAATATCTCTCACTCCCTAACGCTACTCATACTCACTTGTACGCTCTTACTATGCGCTTGAACAGTGTCTCGCCAATTTGATTGCGCACATTACCATATGCGCCCGTCGCGCCCAGCTGCATTGTGATGAAGAACTGATTCTCGATGTAGATGTAGTGCTGCGCCTTCGTTATTGTCTGTATGTAAGCGTCATGTATGCTCTGCTCCACCAAATCCTGTTCGATGAAGCCGCAGCTCCATGAAGAAGCGCTACGCAGCAATTGGCAAGTTACCCGATTTTGTCGCTTCAATACAATATTCGGATTCAGTTTGATGTTGGTGTAACTCTTTGGCATTAGATAGGGAAAGTTCGCATTATCGCGCATCTTCTCAAGCTTCACAGCATTCCAGCGCTGTATGAAATGGCGCGCCACGTCACGCGCCGCCGCTCCCACCAAACACATGCCCACATCATGCCAAGGCATACGTGGCGTTGATGATCGATCAATGATGTCGACCAGCGGCGCATCTAAATTCATCCAATCTTTCAGTATGAAATTGGAATAGTCCTTGCCGAACCAGTACTTCGCTTGGCCGTAATAGTCGTTGAGAATTTGCGTTTGGAAAGGTGTTGGATCCTCCAGCCCGCCTAGACGCCCCTTTTCTACCTCGTCTATGGTGAACACCAGCTGTTTGGGATCTTTCAGCACATCTGGCGATTTGTCGCCCATTCCAGCGCGTTCCTGCTCGGTCATTGTTAGCCTACTCACCAGGTCTTTACCCTTGCGCATCGCATTGGTGGTAATCTTCTCCAACACATTCTTACGCTCTAACTCGGGCGTGTTTAGCTTCATGCCTTCGACGGCGACCGGTTCGTCAACGGTGGATGAGAGCAGCTCAGGTATTACGAGTTTTTTCGCCCGGCGAGAGCGTGCGAAGTTCGACCTCCTCAAATTCTGGTTCTGCATAGCTGACGGTTAGCTGCTCTCTTTTCTGAAAATCTGTGCTCACATTGCTTGTTTCCTTGCGCGAAGACTTCTGCGAACCAAAGGCAGAGTCACCATCGTCTTTGGCAAAAAAGCTGGTAAGGTGACGCGTGCTGCCGGAAGCCGAGGCGGTGGAGACGCTGCCAAGATCTGTGAGACGGTGGCGATAGTCATCCCAACGGCCGTAGCAAAGATCAAGACCACCGATGAAAGCGTAGGTCTGATCGACGACCACAATCTTTTCGTGATGCGCCCAGAAGAACACGCCTGCGCGCGCATGGTCAGGATGGCGGAGAACCTGAGGGAAATGAAAATAGTACGTTGAAGCTGAAATCAAGCATAGGCTCCAAATAATATTTATAATTTGCTCACCTTAATATTCTCGTGGGAAAGCCTCTGTTTGCTATAGTAACTATTTATGCCCAAAGCCATTTCGACCTCCTTGTAAAGCAACACGAAGATTTTAATACCCTGCGACTGTGTGTGAAGGGAGAGAGAACAATTATATGCGTAAAAAAATAGAATTTATTACTGCTTCTCTTAACTCACCGCACGCCGTTGCAGTATCTTGTCCAGCCGCCAGTAGTCGCCATCGACCGCTGGTCGTTTCATATAAATTTCTGGACTGAGCCACCAATCGGCTATGAAAATTTCCTCCTTCGCCTCTTCGAGCGCATCCGCTATCGCGCCCATGTATGTGGACCCATCCACGTGCCAACTTGCTTGTATACCCGAACGCACTGGCGCATAGGACATATGCGGATTGGGATAGGTGAAGTCGCGCGCATAGCTATTCGCCGTCTTTTTAAGATACTGCATCCACTCCTTACACTTCCGGCGCGTCCAACACTTGAGTATGATGTGACGGCTGTTGGTGAGCACTTGCAAGCCTTTGCGCATGCCCGTCTGATAGATGCCGGTAGAGACGTCGAAGCCCTGATCGAATAATATCACAGATCTGTGGGGGCGGGAAATAGGAAACCAAATTGAAATGTTGACTCCAGTCAATATCATTACTCTATGCGCGGTTTTACCTAATAACACCATCGGGACGTATGTAGCCGAAGAAGGTTTCCTTTACAAAGAACCAGCGATTTCGCCACTTGCCGTACAGCACATCCGAACAGAAAAAGCTGCAGCGCACGCAGCATTTCTGCTGAAAGCAGCCAAAGAAATTGCAGCCTGCCTGGCCGGGACGTGTTGAGCCTGTGCGCTTAAGTATAGCGCCCTCCTTACCTTTGATACCGAGATCAGAGACAAAGGAGACATTTGAGACTTCGACGAAGTTCAGCTGTTGGAGCAGATGCGATATTTAGCATGATATTCTTAAAACTTAGAGCACAAGCGCGTTCTTACTCACCGTTTCGTGATGATTTCTATACAAGCTGATGTTCAGCAAATTGTACAGATAATCCTCAAGTTGCTTTATGCGCAGCGGCAGTGACTCGACTGTTATAAGCGACTCCGGGCGATTTGGAAAACGCGGCAGCTTTCGTTTCTTCTTTTTCTTTTTCCCCATAAGCCCCAGCGTTGCCAAAGGACTGCTGCTGGCGCTCGCCACCGCCAACGTATCAACCGGATTGCCATTGATATTGCCAGTGTATTGAACTTTGTGGTTGGTCTCCATCTCCATTGTCTGCGTCTGCGATTGCTGCAGGGACTTTAGGCGCGCCTCATCGGCCATTTGTATGGCAGCTTTCTTAAGCGTTGCGCGCTTCTCCTTATGGCTGCGCATCGGAAAGGGAATGTTCAATGAGGTACGGAAGAAACTGAGTTGTTGATGTAGCGAATTGAAATGTTTGTAGCGGCGTTTGATGGTCCACGTGAAGGGTCCATGCGTCAGTTCAATAGTGTATCTAGAGAACCGAAAAGGAGAGGGATTAAGTGATCGAAAACTGTCGCGCCCTGAGCATAAATGTATATATGAATGTACTCACAAATTTGGATTCAATAAATGCGTCGTTACACTGCGTTCATTGTCGATTATTCGCACTTGTATTTCAGTGCCGGGTATGAACACTTTTCGTTGGAAGGAATTAAATTTCACGCTCGGCCCGTATATCGATGTGTATGGTATTTCTGCTGGTTGCCCCGCCGATGCGTCAGCGCCCTCCTCATCGTCCTCGTCGTCATCGTCGTCGGTGTCTTTGCGTTGCACCAGCACAGGTTTATCGCCAACATTCGACAATATCGTCACGGAATCGGGAAACGCCAGCGTTTCGTCATATTCCGATTCGACGAGTGAGAATTGGAAGTCCGGCACGCAACGCGTACCTTTCTCCTCATCCTCCTCTCGTTCTAAATCATCGGCAGTGTAGTTTCTACTCTCGCTATCGAGACTATCGGTGGCGTTGGCAGAAAAAGCGCGTGGTTGATGGAGATCCATATCGTTTGTCATCATTGAGCCGCCACCGTCGAATTGTGAATAAAGATGGGGATAGTCTAGCTCATCGTAGACAAGCGCAGGATTCGCGATACCCGTCTCACGATCGATGAATTCGTCTGCAAAGAGAAGAAGAAACAATTCAAAGGTTGTGTATAAATTTTTTTTAAATATAATATTCAATTGTAAGCTTCTAAATAGTAAGCCTGTCCTTTTTAGACGCAAATCGTAGTTTGAGTATGAAAATTACACTGATTATTAATCTATTAGACAATATTGTAATCGCAGTTTCGAATTTCGAATGACGCGATCAGAACTGATACACTTGAAAAATTCACTTTGGCGGCCAAGTAGGTTGGTATTTTTTCCTTTTTTACCTCTATGTTTCAAGGCTTGGTTAAACTTACGAGCAAACGCGAAGCCACAATCAGCGTAAATCTCTAAACCAGACATAAGTGCCTCTAACCGAATATCCGCCATCATTACCTGAGATCGTCCGCTAAGGCGAGGCCAAATGCTTGTCTAACACCAAGAGTAACTAAAATAGTTTATATTTAATTATTTGGCAACAAGTCGAACAACTCCACTTTAGTAGCGTCCGGAGAGGACTGAAGAGAAGTAATTGCAAATCTAGTGATTCTTTGCTTGCACGAAAATACACTCTCTTTCTGATATATCATATATATGGGATTTCAGTTGAGATGATGTCAGACAGGTATTAGTATTCAGGTTGGTGAAAACCTGCTCGTCGGTTTGGGTCGAGACCAAAAAACTTCGCCTCGTCCAACTAATTTTTAACACCCCGTGAGCAGGAGATCTAATTGCGGCTTGCCTATCAGACAAAGATTCTGGCTAAGATATTAATAAGTCTTTCGTAAGCATTTGCCTAAAAAAAAGGTTTTCGAAAAAATCTGAATATGGATTCAAAAAAGGAAAAAAGTGGATAAAATGCGGATTTTTGTCCGTTTACAGATTCCATTTCGGATACTTTGACGATCCGTGCTTCCACTAAAGTGTGCGTTTTTTTTAATTTTCTCATTGAATTTTCCATTCGATACGAAAATGAACGAAAATTGTAATCGTTTCCTGTTCGCACTGTCGCTAATATTTAAGTTTCTCTGCTGGCTGGGAAAGCTCTCTCATTCACCACTCGTGGTGAAAAGCTATTTTGAGAGAAAGCACTTGCCTATCATTTAGCACGCGTAGCTATAATGGTCGCAATGGCCGTGTGAGCCAAGCGCAGGCCTAACATTCGAGAGATCCGAGTTGGGGTCTTCGCACAGCGGAATTTTTTTTCTTTGTGTCTAGTAACACTTAATTTTTAGATTTTATTGAATATAAAGAGACATGCATATTTTTTAATTTCATTTAATTTTTAGTAATATACTTTATGTATTTCTGCTTTTCTAGTTTATTTTTTTCTTTCCTAATTTAATTTTCTTTTAATGTTATGATGTTATTGTCTAGAAAAATTATATTTTTTCAATTTCATTTATTTTTCTTTTTGCTTTTTAAATTATTTACTTTTTTTAATTTTTATATTTTATTTAAAAATAAAGAAATTATTTTTTTAATTTTGTTTAGATTTGAAGTACCTACTAGTTTCCTATTTTTTGACTTAATTTTTTTCTTTTTTTAATTCTATTATTTTCAGAAGAAATTTTTATATTACATTTAATTTAAACAAAAAAAAAAGATTTTTTTTTGGGTTTATGTTCATTTTATTCTTTTTAAATTCTAAATTTATTTTATTTATTAGTTTTAATAAATTTAATTTAATTCAAAAATACTTTGGCTCTAGGGGGAGTGTATCTAATTATTCACCGAGATGCTTGTCATAAGAATTATGAAAAAATGGACACTCCTAGTACAGTTCTCTCAAAACAACTCCATTATCTACCTTTCGACTAACATAACTTCTCCATTGTCAGCTGACTCAACTCACGTCATTTCATGTAAATATTTAAATTAATTGTTAAGCTCCACTAACAAAAGTGAGCACCCATAACGCATTTAATTTCAAATTGACCCTGAAAAGCATTTCCACAGTGCATCCAACTTTTTCAAAAAGCCGCTTCCCACGAGAATATCAAGTAAAACAGCGGTTATCTCCGTTCATCTTTTGAGTAGTCAGAGCTAAATCACTAGACAGCTACATAGTTGAACGCTAGAGCGCAACTAGTTAATACTGAATGCAAGAACATAAGTACCCAAAACACACATGTACTTATTTGCATATATAAGGTGTACATATGTATATTTACATAAGTCGTATGTACTTACATATGCCTCCAACTATTGTGCTGGCCGCAGCAGACAGAATTCAAATTCACAGCAAATTAAATCGGATGTTCTGATCTAATCACAAGTGTCGTTAACTCGAAGTGAATTCTCAAGTCTTGCATTAAGTACTCAGCGCATAACTGTTTTCATTTTGTTTATTCGCATTTTATTGCAATACTTAAATATTTGTTCATTACTTTGTATGTAGACATATTTCCTTTTTTTCGGAAACTGGCACAAACTGCAAATGGCAAATGTCTGCGCTGAATGGTGAATATAAAAACGCATTTGACTTAGATTTTCGGAATCAGTGTAAGTGTAGCGGGTAGCGAAAGTGCGCTGCATTGCGCAATAAATAGTGAACGGAAAATTGCAAGAGAAATTTGAAAGTGAAATTAATAGTTTTTGCTGAAATTTTATAAAAAAAAAATTCCAAAAACATGTTCAATATGAAAATCACTTTGGCATTCTTATTGTTCGCTGGCTTGCTAGCCATTGGCGTTGACGCCGGTAAGTATGCCTCCTCCTTCGCATATCCTGTGGTGGCATACATACATCTAAACTGGCGCATCCTTTTTTTTATCTGTGATTCAATTGTAGTTTTTAAAAAGCAAAAATCAGTAATACCATTTCAAATTGCAGGCAGCGAACCAGTTTGTTCGTATCGGAATAATCAGGGTGAAACGATCTTCCTGAAGTATTTGCCGCTGTTGAAACAGGGACAGGACTATGTAGACTTTAGCGCAGATGGAAAGTGTGTGAAGCGTGCCGTTTGCTCGGAGAATTTCAAAACCGAAGTGGAAGAGTGAGTGTGAAGAAATTTTTATTTTTATTTTTTTGATAGAGAAGGAAGATTTTTTGTGCATCTAATTTAACTTTAAAAAACAGTAAAAAAAATGTCCAGTTCTTTCAAAAAATTATTGAAATTTTTTTCAAATTTAGCGTCCATGATTTTGAAGTGTCTGTTTTACTCGTATTAGGTCATTCAAGTGGAACGCATAAATTACATCAATATTGGTAATAAAGTGTACGTTTAACTTTCGATTTTTGAAATTTCAAACAAAATATTCCAAAAATTAAAGAAGTTAGTGGAATCTAAATGAAAATTTCAAATAACTCCGGTTAAATATTTTGAATTTTTTGTTTTAACTAGCAGTTAATTTTCTGAACTGCGTCTCTTATATTTTCTTTGAGTAATTTTCCAGAAATACTTTTTTCAATGATTTTTCTATGTTTAATATTTTAACTTCTTTTTAATGTGACCTATTTTAATATCTTTCAACTTCCTTTTAATTTCATTGCAATACTTGTTTTTTTTTCAAAGTTATTACTTTGTTTTTATTTTTAAGTCTTAATAAATACAATTTACTCCTTTCATAGTTTCTAATAGCCGGTTTCCATTAAGGCAATTTAAGTGAAATTCATTTTTTTCTTTGAATTCAATATGAAAACTGACAGAAGGGAAAATATTTCTGGTGAAATTGGCAGTAAGACTGGAAGTTTTCTATACTAAACTTTATTGAAAATATTTTCAAAAATTTGTTACTTTTCTGATTTTTGTTTTATTATTTCCAAATTTCAATACATTTAAATGCCTCGACATGATTTTTTTTAATTTTTTCAATATTACATTTTTTTCAAAAATCGTTCAAGGAATTTTAAGGTTTTGGTTGTAAACTCCGCTCCTTATATCTTGCTTCTAAAGTCCTTAATTTAATTATATTATATATTCATTTTATTTGCTCCAAAAAATATACATACTTATATGTATATTGATTTCATATATATTTCCGTAAAAATGTCTAAAAAATTTTAAACACATTTAATACTTTTTCTCAAGGTAAAATGGTTTTTGTAAAAAATTTTCAGTTATTTTCTACAGTGTATTGAGCAATAAGGTTAAAAACTTTTTGTATTTTTTTTTTGGAAAAATATTTTGAATTCGTTTTTTAAATTTTCTAATTTTAATAGCTGATATTTTCTTAAATGCAACAGTTTTAGATCAATAGTAATCTTCAACGAAGTTTTGATTGGAGAATAAATATTCCAAAATTAATTATAAAATAAACATACGTATATTTTCCAGATTTTTGATGCATGCCTTATGTATTAATTTATTTTAAACCCTAAAAAAATAAATATTTTGTTCAAAAGTTAAATTTTGTTATTTAAAAAATCTTTTTTACTTTTTTGTTTTAAAGTAAATGCTGTTTTATTTATTTTTTTTTTAAAGATTCAAAGCTTAGGAAAATTTAGATTTACATTTTTTATAAAACCGTTTCATGCTCATAATAAACATAAACGCATCAATTTCCAAAAAAAAATATAAAAAAAAATTTCTTTTTAAAAAGTCGTTTTCGCATAAAAAAAAATTTAATAAAAAATATAAAAAAAGTTCTTCAAATATTTCCGAAGCATATTTTCTGAATTTCTAAAAAAAAATTGTAGGTATGCATTTTTAAGTGGCTAGAAAATCACGTTGACTTTTCATAATTTTTTACTGACGGCTTTTTCGGGGTTTTTCATATAAAAAGGGCAATTTATAAAAACTAGCGTTGATTTTGTAAAATATTTTTTGCAAACGGTCTTGCGGATTTTATTCTACAATAAATGGTAAAAACTGCAGAAGACATTCAACAATAAACGTATCTAAAATCAGCGCAATTGTTTAGTCACTTAAAACTTGTAGATTAAAAAGTTAAAAAGTCTTTATGAAAATTTGTTGAATTTTCCTAAATTCTGTATACCATTTGGAAGTTTGACTTATTTATGTGGCTTTAGTTAAAGCATGATCCATGCATACAAAAAAAATAGTAACAACCAAATTTTAACTTGAGAACCATTGCAAATATTTAACAAAAATCACCATGCACTCACTTTTGATCGCCGGCGTTTGTACATACTTATACATATATATTTTGAAATATTCCCCAAAATTTTTTTGCTAAAATACTATTTTACATTAAAAATATTTTAAAATTATTAAAATAAGTTTAAGTTATAAAAACTTGTTTACATTTCTTATATACATATATTTATTTTCCCTACTCTTCTTTTCCAGTTGCGCCAAATATCCCGTTACTTGTACTAATAAAAAGACGTACCCTGGCGTTTTCCCCGGTTGTTGCGTTAAGTGCTAATTTATTAAACAAAATGGCATAATAAACTATAATTTTGAGTCTAGAGTTTTATAATAATTTATTTAGAGAAGTACAAACGATGTAATTTTGCTCACTTACACACCAAAGAAATACCATAATGATGATTAGTCTTAAGAAAAAGCATATTTAAAAAAAAAAAACATATATATTTAATCATTACTAAACGAAAAACAATATAAACATACATATACAAATATATAAAGCAATATCATATGTTACTCTACAACAAATAAAATGCATTCACATAACGAAGAAAGTTATTTAAACACGTTAAAAAAAACTTATTTAGTGTTCCTTGCTTCAGCTTAATGCAATGTGTGGGAACTGATGGTGACGTTTCCACTGAGCATTAAATGGCACAAATTTATATCACATAGTTGGGCATTAAAAGGACTATGAATTACACACCCAATAACGGTATTTGTCATTGAAACCATTTTAATTAGACATTCACAATGATGATTGAAGTTATAGCTGCCAATTCGAAGGTAACCACATCTTCGTATCAGAGTTCACTATGATTTGAATCGTGACACTGAGGTGTAAGGTAAGAGGTTTAAGTATTTGTCATTACGTTAAGAATTAAAATATGTACGTCATGAAGGTATATAGTCACACATTTTTGGCATTTCAATTTCTAGTGGAATTACTCGCTCTCTAATCTACATCTTTAAAAAAGGAATATTTTTCATTTACGCTACAAGATCATTCACTGAGGTATTTTTGTATTTGTTCTTGACTTCTATAATTTTTCTAAGTGCCAAACTTAATTGCAGTTCAACGCCTTGCACCACATAAATTTGTAGCTCATACAAAGTTTAATTATATATTAAGAAAAAATTATAACCACCAAAAACACGTTAACATAAACTGTTATAACTGCATACAAAATGTTCACAACATAAAACCATTTTACTGCTGAATACATGCCGCTGCCGGAATGAGCTTGACCGCACAACTTTTCTTAAGCTTAAGGTGAAAGGTTAGGGTCAGCCGTAAAAAGTAAACAAACATACGGAAAACAGACTCGAATATGATGGTTATGTGCGCATACGTTTGCATGTACATACACACTATGTACATACACACTATGTACATATGTGAATATTTATGCGAATGGGCTTAAAATGGCTAGACTCGACATTACTGTGCTGTCTTCGGTCAAGTTGATTTCAAAACCCTATAAAAAAAAAAATTATAGAAAATGTTTAGCGATTTAACCACAATACATACACATATGTATGTAGATACACACATGCCAGAATATGTATATGGGAGCTCAAAAAATGATCCCATTTTCAAACTTGTACTATTGTAAGTAACTACAAAGCTAATCATACATATATATTTTTGTATGCAGGTAAAGTAGATACTGGCAGTTTCTAAAACGCAAATTTATTATACTTAAAATCTTGTGTTAAAAAACAGTCATAACTTGTTATTTAAACTAGAACAAGTGTAAGAAAATAAGTAGTAGCTAGGCATTTCCAACCACTACCCGTACCTGAAAAAAATATCTCTGTACATCAACTAAAAAATTTACTTATTAGCAACAATAAAATCTTGTTTGTTATTACATTACAAAAGCGCTGAGATATTTTTGGAGGCAAAAAATGCATTTAATTAAGATAAATAAATGTAGATTAATAAATTTGAAAAGCAATAAAATTAATCGATTTTGTGTATTTTTGCAGTGGTGATCAATCACGCCTACTTCCTGCAGGGAAAAACACATTCTCTCATAATCACTTGTTATTTATACTTTTTTGATTATCACTGCAGCTAATCTTTTATTTACTTAAGTTTAAAAAAATCTAAATCAACTCAAAGTAGGCACATTTTTGATAATGTTAAATGTGGGAACTTCTGAAAAGAACAAGAATACGTAATATTATGCAAAAACTCGAATATTAATATGAAAAACACTCGGAGTATGAGCAAACAAAAAAAGTTCGCCATACACCCCTAAGTCTGAATTACAAGGCAATATCGGAAAAAGAATTTTTTTTTGGCCAACCTAGGATTCGGTGTTCTGTTTTTTAATATGTAGTTCTAGAATATTCAAAATACTTCCTTAGCAAAAGTTTAGTGATATTTGGTAAGCTTTAATTTACTATCAGTAGGGTGGTACGTTAGGATGATACGCAATGCAGTTGGTAAGTACCAGAACGGGGTACAATGAACTTTGAAACAAAATAAAACGTCTCTTCGAGTCAAAAACATCGATATATCAAACTTTAAAATCTGTCTGAAAACGCCAAAGATATGACGAAAAATTTAGAAAAGGCTGCCCCTACGTTTGGCAAAAAAAAAAAATCTTTTGAAATCGCCTTGCCTACGCCAGGAGTGTAGGGCGAAATTTTTTTTCGGTACGATCTAATGAGCATGGATATGAATCATGAAATTAAATATGAACATGAATATGATCTGAATTCGAGTCGGGTTTTCACTCAGATGTCAGATCGGATGTCTTGCTTGAAATCGGAAGAGCTTTAATAAATAACGCCCTTCCTGAGGCAATCGTAAATGCCCTAGATGAACTGGACGCCGAAATTGAACTAGCCCGTTTATCTATTGCTTGCTATGTGAGAGAGCTTTCACAGCAAAGTGAAGCGGAGCATCTTCCCAGAGAAGTTCGAGTAGAGAGAAGAGCAGTCGTGTGGTTGCTTATGCGAATGGCCAAGCAATTTTTGTTGAATGGATTTATGGGTTACATACCCACCCAAACGTAGTTGTTAACTGGGCAGCGAATTGTGAACTAGGCGTGAGGCCTTACAAAACTGAGTGCGTTTTTTTCACTTAAGCTTTCTGACTGGATGAAGTATCTTATCTTGAACCCGGGCAGCAAGCTATGCTAGTAGCCAGTTGGGCCCCCTAGTCGAAGGTGGGTTAATTTGAAGACAGCCTAAGCAGCGCGTATAGCTAGGCAAGGCGCAACTCGTTATACGGGTAGGAAACTCAACTAGCCATTGTCCGATTGGCATTCATGTAGTACTTATCTCACTCAAATCAACGATGTAACGTTACAGCTGCTTGGAAGATGATGAGCTGGGTAATGGCTTAATTTTGACTAAATTCTAATATTTTCTGAATCGCAGTGGTTCACTGCTCCCAAAATTCGAATTGCATGTTTTTTCCCACACTTTTGCAAAGGATTTTTAAAACCTCAAGTTTATTTGCTAGTTATGTGGTAAAAACAAAAATCCTGCATTGCCTCCATATTTCCTGCTAGCATCGTATTATTATCAGTGAAATATGGATATTTAGGTATACAAAGTAAATCACTGTATTTTTTGCGATGATAAAACGTAATCTGCTTTGTTGGCTTACACCTTAAACAGGGAAATGGAAATACAGACATTATTTAGTATTTGTAAACATTATTAATATGTTAAAGCGTGTATGGAATATTTCGTTTTTATTTTCGACACAATATTTTTATCATCATCAGTGATAAAAGGTGAGCTGTCTGATACATATTTCGCATTTGTTTTATTAATTGAATACATTTTTGTTGCTGATATTCTCAGTTTACACATATGTACATACATACATATTGACTCATACATATTTATTTCATCCTTCATTGTACTTTCCCTACCGAATCACTACGAACAGTGGCTGTAAATTATTTTTGATTTAACATGTTTATGACAACAGGTGTTGGGGATTTGTTGGTATTGAGATAAAAGGAAATTGATGGCACCTTCAAAATCGAGCTGGGAAATTTCGCTTGCATTTTGCTTAATGTTTTATATTCACATATCAGATTTCAAAGCTAATAAACCGTCATTTTTCGTACATACATAGGTATACCTTTATCTAAATAATCCTTTATGGAGGTGGGCTGCCATGTTGTCTTGTCAGCTTACATATAAATTGGCCTTGAGCTCAGAAATATAATATAGCGTGTGAACATGATAAGGTCAACCATATACTATAGTGATTATCACAACTATACGACACCTACATATTGAGAAGTTTGGACTATTTATTTTTTAATGCTTAATTTCAATATTTTTTTTTTATTTATACCCAAATTTCCAACAAAAATTCTGACATATTAAAGTGCAAGTTTGAAGTAGCTACACACTATCGGCGATGCGCATAAGTAAGAAAATGCGCCAGACTGCCAACAAAAGAAGTTGTAAACAAGTAATTTTTAGCAAAAAAAAAAACCGACTTCAACTCTCATATAAAAAAAATATATATGTATATATCTCATGATCCGCTGATCGGATCTTAACCATATTAGTATGGGACCACCTCTGAGACACTACCTTTCCGATGCAAAAAGAATTATCGAAATCGGTTGACGTGGTCCAAAGTTAAGCGGTAACATACATAAAAAAAAAAAAAAAAATATTCCGACGAACTGATAACCTCCTCCTTTTTTGGAAGTAGGTTAAAAATTAACGGCAGCTTGTGGCCACTTCAAATTTTCACTTTATTGTACTAGAATTGAATGGGCTATAAAACTGCGTACCTAAAATTTTTCTAAGACTTGAATAAGAAACAAAAACAAAAATTAATAAAATTTTGCACAAAGTTTGAAACTCGGTTTTATATGGCTTTAATATAGAATGAACTACATATATGTATTTAAAAAAAAAATAACTAAAATTATGTTCTAAAAAAAAATTATCAAAATTATGT